AAGCCGTTCCTGCTAAATTTTAACTGGCTCCTTCGCACTCAAGTAATCATTATTTAATACCATGTTTAGTTCAATTGCCAGCAATACAATTGGCAAAAGATAAACACTAACTAACGTCATATAGACAAAACTAATGCGCCTTACAAATTGTAATAGCAATGTATACTCAATGAGTCGATCCCCTGAAGTTTATCAAAGGCGCCATCCAACGAAATTATCGTGCCTGAAGTTTTGTATTCTACACAATAACAGATTACTCCTATACATACACTTATACACAATCCGTCAAGCCAGTGCAATTTACCTACTGTACTGGCATAATGTAAAGAAATAACAAAAAAACGTTGCCACATTATGGAAAAATATGGAATTAACTGGCATATATTAGCACATAGTAATAAAGAAGCAGAGAGAAGTTTCTCTAAGTTTGGATATTTTCTCTATGAGTTGTAGATTTTTTCTAAATCATCATTTACATTTTAATAAAAAAATTAGTATAGTAATTTTTTTTCTACGGTGACTTACCTATATGTGTATTATGCGCGGTGTGGTGCCTGTCGGGGGTGAACAGGGGGTTGTAGAACAGCGCCTGGTCCTGCTCCGAGAACTGCTCGCCCCAGTCCCACACCGGCCGCGCCACGAAGTTCTGAAACAAAGAGTATCGTTAACAAAATAACACTTTACCATAAAAACTTAGCGTTTTAAATACATTTCAGCTTAAATAAAAGCATTTATTTGCAAGTAGCTGTCAAATTATATATGCTACTTTTATTTTTTGTTTTTTTAAAGGTAAAATAATTTTTGATATAACATCAATAGTTTGAGTTAATTTAAAATGGAATAAAAAAAAATTTCCCTTTAGTAGTCTATTTCCGTGTGGCTTCATTCACATGACATTATAAAACTATAAAACTTGTTGTTTACATTCCATAAAACTTTTTATTGCAGATAATGCTTTTCTGATATTGGCTTGTAATTTTGTCCCTTTCTATAAAGTAATTCTTACCGATTTTCTCACCACTCAAGTTAAATAACGTGAAAATATATAGCCTACAGCGTGATTATTGGACATTTATTAAAAGAATCATTAAAAAATAAAAAGAAAATACTTGTTTTTTTATGTGCTGGAATAACTCAATAACTACTGGGCCGATTTTAAAAATTCTTTCACCATTAAAAAGCTACGTTATCTGTGAGTGACATAAGCTATATTTTTTTATTATTTTTTTAATTTCACGGGGAGGAGATCGCGTAATATTAACAAACCTTGGATAGTGCGAGATCTCTTTCCCTGGGGCAGTTAAACAGGAAGGTATCAAAGAGGTGGTTATGCGCGCAGTCTGCCAGGGTCACCAGGTAGGTGTCAGTGTAGTGGAAGGCCGCAGGGTGCTGCT